ATTAACAATCTGATGCAAACTGTAATGACTGCCGTGATATGACAAACTAGTTAGTGCTTTCATCTTATAACCCAGTTGATATAGAATTAGGTTATTTAATTCGATAGCCACTTCTTGGAATACTGTAACGGTCATAAATTTTGTTTCACTTTCAGTCATCACGCATCGTATTATTCAACTTTTGATGACTGTGAACGCATCTAAAACTGTTGATTTCACACCATCAATAATATTTACTGATGACGTTTCAAGAATAACTGATTGCTCATAATCATATTAAGGTACTCACATAGCTTTCCTACTTCGTTTATAAAGTCCCACTATTTCTCATCTCTTGACTTGATTTGTAGTAGTATTCTCCATATACTAGTTTCACCATTATTTTCATTTTGTTTTCGGCCTTTTCTGATCCTCCTAATGAATTTTATAGGGTACTTATTTCAAAACAACGCTTCTTCTATCTGTTTCATTTCATCACTTAGGTCTTTTCTCGTACTACTGCTAGGTTTGTTAGACACTTAACTAAGCCCGCCTCAACAGTTGAATTAAAGTCTAAATATCTATTAGAATGCGTTGGCTTTTTATAAAGGGTAGTGTGCAGTTTACCTTCTTCTATTCGTTTTATTTTAAAATCTAACATCACAGCTGTTCTATTTGTTCATTTTCCGATTCAAATGTGAATTTTATTCCCTCTACTAGTGAGTTTATATGTGTCAAGAAGCTAGAGAGAGAGATTTTCTGTTTTTAACACTGTGAGTGCAAGTATCATCCACATATCTCCACCATATTTTTGGAGTAGGATTAAATGTATTAAGAGCAATATTTCTTCAGCTGACCATAAAGGTATCTGCTACGATAGGGGATATCGGTGATCCCATTGCTACACTTTCTGTTTGTCTATATATTTTGCCTTGTAATATAAAGACAGTAGAAGTGAGGCATAACTGAATTCCAAAAAATAATTTCCTCAATGGACAGTTTTGTCCTGTGAGAATATTCGGGATCAGCCATTAGTTCTCTTCTAACTGCTTCTAAAGCCACATTGATTGAAATATTAGTATACAGACTAGCTATATCAGGACTAACTGTTCTTGTCATTATTCTCCAAATGAATGTCATTTAGTTTCTTTTCCATCTCATATGAATTAGTTAGACTATAGTGTGAACGATTTCTAATGGGACATTTAATATTAGAGCTAAGTGTTTTGATACTATATAAGTAGGGGTATTTCTGAAACCTACTATTGGTCGTATGGAGTAACCCGGTTTATGTATTTTAATCGTATCATATATTCTACTAGCATTATTAGTTTTAAGGCATTAAATCAAGCCATTTAGATTCATTCGGGGATGGCTTCATTCTGCATATTAAATCCGCCGTAGATCTCTTAATCTTATTCATTATTGTACCTGAAAATCAACACCATGACCTTGAAAAAGTCTGTTAAAAAGACGGTGAAGATACTAACAATAAATGCATTCAAGGAATAAAGTGGACAAAAGGTTTCATCAACTGAAACGGCTGAATTATATCCATGATCTATTTATAATACATACAATTTATATAATGGTAAAAATTTTCATGAAACTTTGAACAAATTAGAAATCCTAATAAAATTTATAATTGGAGTACCATTTTCTAGCCTATTATCTGCTACTGGATGAAGATCCTGAAGTCCTAATTAAAAGAAATGACCAGTAGAGTCCACCATCCCAGTGTGAATGCGATGCAAATCGGTGGGCATTGGTTGGTGGTAGGGTCACATTGAGAAATGACAGTAGTTAGAATCCTTGGGTGGTTATCGACTTTAAACACAGTAGTTGAATGGTCGAGGAGACAGCCTTGCAGTGTGGAGGTGAATTTCCTCTTCAGGAACTGTGATATTCAGTGCAACATCGTTGAGAATACCTTTTTCTAGTCGGCTGTTACTGTCCAATGTACTAAAGGCCAAACACCCCAGCTAACCAACTCTGTGTGCCTTTATTAATCCACTCGCTTTGTAACACCAGAAGGCAAGACATGGAAGCTAAGGTATATTTTTAAGTGATCAAACCGCTATTTATATGTATACAGTTTATATTCTTTAACCAATCTCTGAGCTTGTGATTTTGGTTTAAATTAAACGACATGAAATAGAATGTTCAAATACATAAATATGGTATTCTGTTGCTAATATACTATTGAACTATGTGAATAGTATTCAGACGTAATCCCTAACAAATACAATGAATGATGTTTATTGTGAGAATAATACTCCGTTTGAACCAACTGTCTATATCACACCACCGAAACGTTTGCGGAGCCAGTTATATCGGTTGTTCGATTCAGGTTTTTTCCAAGAGACAACTATTCTCCGTGATTACGGACAGGTGTAAGTGGGGCTATAACAAGCTCAATAATCGAACATCTGGTCAATACTGGTCAACTTGTTTCTACAGCGTCTTCCTTTAAAATAATCTACAAGGCGAAAAATAAATTGCGAAAAACATTACGTTTCCAACTCATCTATACTGCTGAAGCTTTCGTCATCGAAACAGAAAAGGTAGACCTTTGTATACAGAAAACGTTTGTTCGACTACTTCAACCCTCTTAGTTTAATCCATCTATGCTAAAGTATGATAATCCGCATTCTTACTTCGTCTCTACTTATATTTCATTTTATTCATTCAGTTTGTATATCCAACCCTTATAATGTCAGTTATTAGTAATTACACTTTCAACAATTTCCGGTATTATCTAACTCATCAGTCTTATCTTTGCTGAATTCAATATGGGTTTTGCGATGTTGTCTCAGCATAATTACTACTTCATTTAGTAGTGTTTTATTTGCCTACTAGTCCCATTATTTTCACATACACTCCCTTTCAGGTTTATACATTTTGATAAACTACTTTATGAAGTACTACTAATGTTATAGAGAATGGAAATAAAATAATGATGGATAATTATTATTATTGTTTCCTTTAGTTCCTAAAGGAACATAGGGTTTCAGCCACGCATCTCCACTGCGTTCGATTCTCTGCTAACGTTTCCACCTAGCTCCATGTCTGCCCATATGCTCTCATCTCCCCTTCTAACGACCTCGCTAATGTTACCCTCGCACTGACGACCAACTAACTCTCCACCTCCCATTCGGGTTCTACTCGAGCGATGGCCTGACGTGTGATGCATGTCACTTGATGGTTTGTTTTCTCAGAGTATGGCAAATCCACCTCCATTTCTAATTCCATATTTGTTGTACAACTGGTTCCTCCTAGTATAAGAATAAAAATTGTTCACTTTGATTGAGTATAATTCCATTGTGCGTAAAATCTATTTTGATAAAGTCTCACAGTGTTATACAGTAATATTTACTGATGACGTTTCGAGCACAATTTATTGCTCATAATAATATCAAGACCTTGATATGATTATGAGGATTCCTGTTGCTGATCTTTTCTGACCATCTGATCTTCAGCACTGAGTGAAGATAGCTGTTGACGAATGTCTATTGTTTGTTCGAAATGCCTTTCGTGACGCGACGCCAAGTCTCCGATCCGTATAGTAAGTAGCACTGACTTCACATGGGAGTTGAAAATCAGGATCTTATTTTCATTTTCGTGCTGAGTGCTGTTGATCTCCATACTGACTTGAAAGTAATGAAAGCTTGCCTGGCTTTCCGGATCCGTGCTTCCATATCCTCCCTCATCAATTCCGTCGGCCTGTAGTTGAAACGATGCTTCTCAGGTGGATAGATATGTGAAAGAGGTTGCTTATTTCAGATTACTCCCACTTATGCTGATTGTTGTCTGTTGTTGTTGCTGTTGATGTTGGCCAGGAATTTTCATCACCTCTGTTTTATCTATGTTCACATGAAGTCCTATCAATGATGCTTCTTTAATCGCCAACTTGTTGCTTTTCACTTGCATATCTTCCAGTTTGTGGGAAATCAAACATATATCATCGGCGAAGTCCACATCCACTAAGTCTTTTGTGTGGGTTCATTTGATGCCTCTTTCCTCGTTTCCGCTGTCTGTCTGTCGCATTATCCAGTGTACTGCAATCAGAAAATCATTTGAGATAGTAGGCAGTCGGCCAGCTTGTCTAACTCCCGTCTACACTTCGAAGGATTCCGTGATTTTCCCATTGTGGATTACTTGACATGCAGCATTATCGTACAACTGTGGAACGTGGTGTATAACTGTTGCATCGATGGATACTCCTGTCCAAAGCGGAGCTCAAACTCGGTCATCCATAGGACCTATTAATCAGCCGAGCTTGTTATTATTCAAAAAGCCTAAAACATGCTACACTACAAACCTCGAAAGTTCACAAATGATTATGTCACATCCCACACTATTTACCAATTTACACATGTGTGAGCGGACACACAGGGGGAGTAATACCGTTTTGCATGTGAGGGTGGAATAGGATAATCCTAAGTGATTAGGAAGAAAATAAACTTCGGAAAATCAATAGACGCAGGTGTCAGACTACCAACTTCGTCTATAACCAAACACCTAATTGATATGAACCATAAGATTGATGTTAACACAGATCTTAAGGTTAACTATAAAAGGGATCAAAGGAGCCTACTAAAATACGCTGAAATTATAGCTATCAATAAACTTAAGCCCCCGTGTATGTTGTAAAACAACTTAATATTACTCTTAAACTACCCTGGTAACCCTTATCTGTTTAGATAACCAAATATGGATTTTCCAAAAAAATTTTCAGTCTACCGCTGTCCTTCTGTTTTCATTCTGTCTAGACTCAAGTGGTGCATAGAGGTTCAAGCTAGGAATTTGCAGCTTGAGTGATGATGCTGTCGCCTTTTACCGGGTAGGACTGTTGGCGACACACCTAACCTTCCTCCCAAAAGCGAACTACCACATATTTTTATTTAAAAAGTATTACTACTTATGTAAATTTAAGTAATATATGCTTTAAATGCCACTATTTTGTTTAACACCAATTTTATTAGCGACTAAATAATTTTCCTTACCTTATTTTTCATTAGTTTCGATGCGGGCGCTAATGATGGATGTCAATTTCGATATGAAGAGCATCGAGGCAGTAATTTGGTGTTGCAACACATCACTGGACGACGTGGATCATTTTTGTATAGACAAGACACTAATTCAGGTCATTCACACTACAGTTCAAGGCATGAATCAATCACAGGCGATGAATTGAGTAGACAGTAAGTACTTTGGATTAAATAGATTACTGCTCATATTTTTAAAATGTAATTCATTCAGATTTTTTCCAGAAATTAAATGCGGGTGAAAAGGTATTGCTCACCTCACCCTAACAGTGATCACCATGAGGATATCAATGTTAAACTAAGGTGATGCATGTCATGCATATGATAAATCATAAATTCCCATTTTCTCTGTGGTGAAAATAGAGCTGAGAATAAATTCCCGTTGGGTTGCACTTTTTACGTTTAGTCATTCCTAGAAATCACCTTCACTTAATATCACGTACGTACTCTGTAGAATGCTGTTTTCAGCGAAGTGTGGGTGATTTTACGAAACATTCAGAAGAAAGTCAATATTCAGGCATCATGTTATAGGGACTGGACTGAGCTGAAGGGAGATTTCGTGGCAAAGTAAAACTGCGGAATCCAACGTTCGCTGAACAACCATTTCGTCCTAGTTCAGGACTCTTCATTATTGAGAACCTGTGACGTCAAAACCCCTATCTTTAGACTGCAGAGTGATCCGGTTGACCAACCAACTGCCTCATAAGCTGAAAATCCTGGATTCAACAACTAATGAAGTCATAGGTGTACACTGCTGATGAATCAAAATACCAGGAGCAAACAGCCTTCCGGTGCTCTATAGCTTTCAGTAAGTCTCTAAGTGGTGTTTGTTCCTGACAACACTCACCTCTTTAGACAACTACTTATTTGTGGCTTTAGCAAACCTTTTTTGATGCCCCGCATAACACCACTTTTACCGTATTTTTTTAATTCCGTTACGTTCCCAGTGCTGGAACACAGGGCTTCAATCTAGAAGCTTGAAGTTCCTGTGTTAGTGGTGTATATTTTTACGGGTGGGATCTCCAGTCTCATGCACAACCTTCCCTCTTTTATAGTTTTATCACTGGCTTAGCGGGATGAAGGAGTGCGTCGGTGGTCAGGGATCAAACCCGGAATCACATACGTTATTGTTATCTGTTAATTAGGCCTGACTATTCTGTTTTGTTTGAATTGTAGTCGCCTATTGATTCATTTCTGTTGTTCTCATAAGAGACTACTAATTAGTTAACCATCGGAAGTTTTCAACAGAATTGTTAAGACAAAGGATTCATAAGAGAACATTTTAAAGTATACTGATTATTCAGTCGGATACAACTATACTCATGGTTTAAAAATCTATAGAAATCAAAGTTCAGAATGTAAAAAAGTAATGCCTGTAAAATGTTACATCACTGAAGTCAGTATCTGTGTGTGCGCCTAACCTGCAATTTTCATGACTGGTAACTATATAAATGTTCTATCAAAGATTTCTGTGGTTATTTGGGTTGATGGTAACTAACAGTGGAATCCATGACACGCCCGTTTTGCTCTACTTAGAATTAGTCTAGTAGTTGCACCTACAGTCTCAGTGAATGATGACGTTCCCAATGGATTTCGAACACTGCCTCCGCCGTAAGGAACACAACATAACTATTCTGATCGAAATGTAGGGAATCAATCAATGTGTTCTTCTGCATAGCTGACTACACTTCCACGAGTGACTTACAATCCCAAAATGTCTTGATGCTGGCATTAAGGCAGTAATATGCAATAAAATCTGTGATACTATCAAACAATGACAGCATGTATAAAAATTCAAAATAACCTCAACAGTACCCTTAAGCAGCTATACAGTTCAAGAACTTCGCAAAAATACATAACAAATACCGAACAACTGTAAGGAGTACCTCAGAATCAAATGGAATATTCCCAACAAGATTGGATCAAAACTCTGTTGGCAAGAATAAAACACACTACAGAATTCGCGCTGACTGTTCAATGTTAAAAATCCCCAGAGCATAATCTTGAATTCATTCAAGCAAATCTAAATTGCAAAACAATACGTTATGATCAACAATCCACTGTCGTTCAATAGGACTACGCATCAACCACGATAAACCGCACACTATAAATATGGATTGAATCAAAGAAAGACATGTGAACGTTGAAATGATGGTACATTGGACAAGTTAAAAAAGGTGAAAATCACACACTTAGGTAAAAAATATCTTAATAAGCAATAGTATTTTAAATGGACTGTTAAGGAGCGATTTTCCAATCAGTTATTTCGTTGCACTCATGACAGCGGAGACTGAGCATTTCAGTTCAGTGACAACAAAAAATGTACATTAACTTAAACCAAAACTTCTGTTATTTTAACTATTTCTAAAAATCCTCCAGTTTGAATTAATTGAGTTCAGTTGAATATTTGAACTACGAAAATTTCGAAAATTATCAGGAGTTGATTTGTATTGATTAGATTTGTTTCATCGAATTTGATCACAGATTGATATCAATGATAGGACCACTGAAAACCGGCAGGGATTGCTGGACAACTATTTTACCCTAGTTCGTAAATCACTGGTAGTATGTGCTAAGTTACGAATTGGTAGAAGTTGGAATTCATGAGCTGGTCACTGAATCGGGTTTCAGTGGCTGAATGGTATACAAGTTTGCTTTGCGACCGGAATGCCTTAGGTTTGAACTGTAGTTGTGGATGCGTACTGCCAAGGTTTCTCAAACTAAGATGAAACAGCTGTCCAGTACTCACCACTGGTTGTCAATGGTTCTCTAACTGATATCAATCCTTGGTCAAACTCGGAATTCCGAGAATGGTTGATTGAAAAAGTTGAAATAACAAAAGGCTCTTTAATGATTGCATGGTTTTCGCAGTGTTATCAGGATTTTCACTGAAATGAGTAATTTTAACCCAACGTATCTATTCAGTTATATCATTCATAAAACGCTGGACTGTTCTATATATTTCCATTGAAAGAACCCCATGTGATGATTTTTATTACTTCTTTGTTACTACTGTAAATTGGAAACAGTAGTATAAAATCATAGACATAATTAATTGAACAGATGAAATTATCTGTTGCCTTTTTAAAAAAATCTATCCATTAACACTTATTCGTCCAAAGAGAAATGAATAATTTAGATCTGAAGTCTGTAAGACTTAACTCCATGGAACCTGTTCCCTTGATTATAGTTTGAAGGAAGATATGTTTAGAGCATAAAATGTGCATCGGTGGCACAGTGGTTAGGACTCTCGCCGACCATGCACATGGTCCCGGGTTCGAACCCCTGCCGGCGCACACCCGATATCTATGGTATGCCTGAATTTGGGCAGCCGATATCCATGCTGAAAGTTCCACACTTGTACTGAAAATACGGTGTGGAAATCAAGCTGTAAATCAAAAAAAAAAAATAAAAAAAAATAAAACAGCTTATAAGTTTTTCTGCAGTAAAATAAGAGGACCTAGTTTTTCTGAAACGCGTAATGTATTTGCGCAACACATTTCTGACGTCCTGATCTCAAATGTAGTTGTCATAAACAGTTATATGGGAGTCAGGAAGGCATGAATCATTCCAATACAGGTCAGACTGTGTACGGGTCAAGGTTACAAATAATAATAATGACTCCAAGGTCTCAGAAAGAAGGAAAGAAAAAACAAAGAAGGGTGGGGGTGAAAATATCACGAATTCGTTCGGACAGTAGTTCTAGATTGGATTACCAAGTCAGTTTCAAAGCAATGACAAGTAATTTTTGAACATATAAGATAGGTTTAACTCTTTTTATGGCCAAGGCTTCATTGAATTTAAGTATATGACCCAACATTGCTTTATACACATGGGTTTAAAGGCTTAATCAACTTTATGACTTATCTATATAATATGCTTCGCTAAAGATGTTGTTGGACATCCGTTCCCGGGATCACTTGTATTTGGCGATTTTATTTGTTGTTGCAGCCACTTTGAGATATGTTCTGTAGCCTTAACCTGATCAATAGGTCATCCCCATGTGCATCTGTCTACACATACATTATTTATTCGATATTATAACTGTTTGCTTGAGTTCCGAGTGGAACATTGAGCTTCAACAACACATCCCCACTTTATTCCTTTTTCCGCAATCTTCTTCACCTGGGTTCAAGATTACGCAAACTCTGGCATCACTTCCTCACATGACCTCCACCATGTAACCCTAGGACGACACACCCGTCGCTTCCCATTCGGATTCCACTCGAGTGATGACCAGGCTAGAGGGCAATGTCATTCTACGGTCTCCTCGATGTATGCCCAATCCATCTCCACTTTCTTCCAGAAATTTTTTTAAGCAATCGGCTATTGGTTGGTTTGTTCCCACACTTTCTTGTTACTAATTCTTTCCAGCCATTTGATCTTCAGTAAGGAGCCGGAGAAGAAGGCAGCTTTGATAAAAGTCTTCAGTAGCCTCTTCGAAATCCTTTTCGTTACATGCAGTACAAGTTCCTGACCCATATAGAAAAAATGCCTTGACATTGGTTTTCAAAAAAAGAAAATCTTTTTCTTTATGGTGGATGAATGCAGAATATCTTCAAACTGGTTTCAGATTGATGAAGGTGTATCTTGCCTTTCCGATTCTGACCATGACATCATAATCCGTGCTGTCACTTGTAGTTGAAACGATTCTGGCTGACTAGATAAGTGAAGGTCACCTCTGTTAAATCTCAGCCCTTGATGGTGATTGGTGCTGGTTGTTTTTGTTGTAGTGATTCTTTTGTGATCTCCATCACCTCTATCTTCTCTAGTCGACACATACATGCAAAATAATAAAGAAATTGGGATGTGACACTCTTGTTCGCATGCTGTTAAGGTTTATTTCATGGCTTTTCTTGAGTTACAAAAAGCCTAAATATTACATAAGTTATTATATATGAAAATATAAAATGTACTCTGACTCAAAAGGTGTGAATACGAGATAGTAAGTGATCAAGCCGACCATGCACATAGTCCGGGGTTCGATCCCCGGCCGACGCACTCCTTTACCTCACTAAGCCAGATATCTATGGTCGGCCTGCAAAATTCGGGCTACCGATATCCATGCTGAAAATTCCATACTTGTACTGAAAATACGGTGTGGAATCAAGCTGTAAATCAAAAAAAAGAGGGAAGGTAGGGCATGAGGCGGCTAGCAAG